GCAATATGGTTCATGGGGTCACGAAGAGTCGGACACGACTTAATGACTAAACAACAACAACAAAAGTATGCTATGGGCTTATCACATGTTCCCCTAATGGGGGCTCAAAGATGTTGCCTCAAGAATATGACCTCAAATCACTGCTTTTGCCTTGTCCCCAGAGCTGAGGACATCTGAGTTGTTAGCTAATCCAATGATAAAATGGTGTTCTGCATTTCCTCCCATCACAAGCCTTGCTGTGTGCATGATTTCTGGCACATCAGCAGCTTCAGTAGCACAACTCTGTGCAGCTTCTCAGACTGCCAAAATGAGGTGGTTGTACAGCTATGAACTATGAAAACTATCCATTAAAGAAAATACACATGGCAAGGGGCTAAAATTCCATGTGTGTTTTATAACAGATCCCGTTTGGATGGATGGATGGACGGACGGACAGATCTTTTGATATGGAAAGTACTATAGAAGCCAGTTAATAAAATAATGTCATACTATTTCCTATCTCAATCCATGGAAACACATCATTTGTTATTTCTCATCTCTCTTTCCAATTATTTTTTGTCTCCTGCCTTTTTAATTGTAGCCAGAGGGGGGAACCTGTTTTATTACAGATCTGCATAAGTCCCTCTGGCTAAAATGGAAGGTAAAAAACATGGCCAATGAGTAATTTACAAATGAGATTTCTTAAAAAATATATACACTTTCTGGACTAAAGAAGAGAAGGTACCTGGTAGCCAAGAGAGGGTAGGAATGAAGCGGAGTAGACCAAGCTTCCTTGATGCGCGGCATGCTCTCAAATATCAAGAGATCTTTCTCAGTCAGTACAACCAACACTGCTTTCCAAGGCTTCTCATTCTGTCCCAGGACCTGGGCAAACAAAACAAAACAGGAGTTCCAATGGAAGAGTGGCAAGGAAAGGATTCAGGAGAATGTCACAATACGGAAACCTAAGACCAGCTCTACTGGATCACGCCAAGGCCCACCTTAGTTCAGACTCTGTCTCCCACAGCAGCCAACAGAACGTTTCTGGCCTTGGGGTGCTTTTAAGCAGGAAACTGAGACACAGAGCATTTCCCCACTGCTGATTTATGACATCTGCACAGCATCTTCCAGCTATCATTGAAATGATATAAAGCTTGTCCTCATTACGGTTGTTTTGGCACAGCAATGGTTGGATGACATTAGAAGATGCTATGAGTCACTGGTGTGAAATGAAGATATCTTCCCTTGATGTTCCCTGGTATTTGGAGGGAGGCCTTCCCCAACCTGCAGAAAATACTGAGTCTTCGAGACTGAACAGACAGACCTGTCTTTGATGAATTTATCCTATCCCTTTTTAATAGCCATCCTCAGTCTCACTGTGTGAAGTGCTTTCTTCTGATTGTATAGGTTTTACTCATGTTATCTGGTAGAGTTTATTTTACAAGCAAGTCCCCCTTCCCTGCTAATTGCTTTTCTCTACCCACCCACCTCTGAGTATAGCAGAAAGATCCAAGCTGTTCTTCCCTTGAAGTGACCTCTCCCAATTCTACCCTGCCTCTTTGCTGGCCCTGAGGAAGGGATTTATTGAGACACTCTTTAGTTTTGTCCTCAAGGCAAGAGAGTAGAATATTCTCCAGGCAAGTATGAAGAAATATATTTTGTGACCTCTCGCAATTCCCCAGGGAGTCATCTTATATTTATTTCTAAAACCACTTTATCATCTCTTCCATTCAGCCCCATATGCTCATATGCCCAGTAGCTCACAATGCTATAAGAGATATAACACATTAAAAAAAAAAAAAACCTGAAACAAACCAGAGAGCTCAAAAGCCAACTAAATAAATCTATTTTTGAAGATGCATCTTCAACACAGGAAGAAAAACAAAAATAAAACCCAGAACATTTGATTAGATGGCTTCCAAATGCCTTTTCAAACTCTCTGGTTTTAAGATGCAGCCAAACAAGCTTCCTGAAGAATTATTTTGCAAAGTGGGTGCCATTACTAAGAAGGCCCTTGGATAAGCAGCAGGAAGAAAGGACAACTGAGCAACTCTGTAGTCCAGTTTAATGGCTTGAAGCAAAAGATAATCTCTTTGGAGATTATGATCCACACCTGCTTATATGTGGATTAGTTTGTCCAGATTGAAAAAGTTATGTATTATTTATCAATGGAGAAAAAAAATCAATCAACAATTGCCCACTGTGATATTGTTCTCATTGGCATTTGGGGCTTTTTAATTTCTTAAGTTAAGATCACTATTCAATCAAGGTTTGGCTGAATGGCTTAAAAATGCATTGTTTATCATGAGGCTGACCAGTAATTAAATGGATGTTGTATCCTGAAAAACCATTCTTCATTTATCATTAACAGAGAACAGCTATTTTAATTACAATCCCTGTTTAGTAAACAAATTGTCTGTTATTGGCAAGCTCTGGTTTTAGCAGGTATTCAAGCAGGTTGGAATTTAATTGAAGTGCTTTTGGGGTTCATAAAGGGAGGCTGCTTTTCAATGCAAAAGTAATTTCTCCTTCCTCATAGCCATTAACCAACTTCAAAAAGAATGATTTAGATATACAGAATGAGAGTGAGAAGGGGCCACTGAGGCCATTAAGTCCAACCCCTGCTCAGTGCAGGAATCTCAATTAAAGCATCCTTGACAGATGGCCGCTTAGCCTCTGCTTGAACATGTCCAGTGAAGAGGAGCCCACAACTTCTCTGAGTAATTGATTTCATTGTTGAGCTGCTTTTTTACTTAGGAGTTTTTTTTCTCCCAACATTCAATCAGAATCTGTCTTCCTGCAGCTTAAATCCATTATTCCATGTCCTGCACTTTGGAATAAGGGAGAACAGGTCTTGACCTTCTCCTATTGGGCAACCTTTCAGGTATTTAAAGAGTTTTATCCTATCCAGACTCAGCTGTCTTTTCCAAAGGCTAAACATTCCCAGTGCTTTCAATCTCTCTCAAATGTCTTGGCTTCTTGTCCCCTGGTAATCCTCATCACCCACGCCTGATTCTGATGCCCAGAACTGGACACAGTACTTGAAGTGTAACTATTACTTCTGGTGTTAGAGAAGACTCCTGAGAATACCCTGGACAGCCAAGGTATCATCAAACCAATCAACCCGGAATTCTTATTTGAGGCACAAATGACCAGACTCAAATTATCCTACTTTGGACATACTATAGGAAGAACTAGTTGTCTGGAGAAGGCTCTAATGCTGGGAAAGGTGGAAGGAAAGAGGAGAAGAGAATGACCAACAGCAAGATGGATGGACTCAATTACAGTGGCAATGAGTGCACCATTGGGAGACTTGAAAGACCAGGTTAGGGACAGATTGTCATGGAGAAAAATCTATCTAAGTGGTCCCTAGAAGATGAAAATGACTTGATGGCACATAATCTTTTAATGCAGTAACATTTTTCTGTTTGCCTACCATTTCCCTCCCCTATTATTTTTGCTCTTGGGTTCTTAGTATCTCCTTTTTTAGGAACTCCAAATGAGTTCCTTTTATCACTAGCTTCTCCTGACATGGAATCCTACTTATCATAATTCTGAGATTATTAAAGTCCATGTTTTTGAAACCTACAATATTAGCTTAAAATCAAAACCAAGAGCCTTGATTTCCCTTAAAATCAATTACCATTATACAGACTGTTGCCTCAAATGATCTTGCTACTTCTATTTTCTTTCTTTTTATCATCAAAGATAATATCCTCTTGCTTCTTCTCTACCCTCTAAAAGGTAACAGTGGTCAGAAAGAGAAGTCAGGAATTTCCTGGAAGAAGGATGCTTGGCAGAATTTATCTTCCAGAAAACATCGGGACAGTTAAAGCTCCCTACTACCATTACACATCTTTGTAGATCTATAATCTGCCTTTTGTTCTTTTTGAACAAAATACATTTGATATAACTGCTTCAGGCTGGTTTTACCAGGAGTGATGGAGTTATAAATATGATGGATGGATGGATGGATGGATGGATGGATGGATGGATGGATGGACAGATATGGTTGCATGCATGCTTGTATGTGGAAATGCAACTTACTGTAGGTTTCAGGTATTTGACAGTTTTTCGTACAATGGAATAATACAGCTTGTCATTTTTAATATTTTTCATTGCTATTTCTTGAACTAAATAAAATGCAGGAAAGGACTCAAAAATTCTGAATCCAGAAAGAGTGGCTCTTCATCAGCTGAAGCAAAGGAAACTACAGGCCAGAAGTAAAACATGCCAAATATATACACGGCGGCCCAGGCCTTTCAAAGTTTCATTTACAATCACTCAAACTCCATGAAAGCAAGGTAATTTCCAAGGTTGATGCTGATTAGCACAGGCAACCGTGAACACAGGATGTTGGTGCTTCCCACGCAGCAGGAAATGGGACTATATTATACCTTTGACCCTGATCGCACGGAAGGAGGCAATACTGGGGGAATTATTGCAAGAGGAAAATGAAAAGAAACAAGAGGCTAGGTTTTCATTTCTAATCTCTTCCTGATCCAAATAGGCTCTACAAAGCCGGCCTATTTCACTATCAGATCTGGGCATTTGCCAAGGTATACAAAATCCTCCAGAGAGCACAATACAAGCCGTTGTAAGTCCCTAACAAAAACAAGTGATGCAAGTGACAAAGCAGGAGTTGGAGGTAAGAGGTTATACAATCTTGGCTGTAGTACCATTTCTCTACTAGGAGCTTGAAAGGTTGGGGAGATGAGTAGGATGACCAAGGAGATGAAGGATGGAGTTCTGCCTTGTGCTGTAAACCAAGTGATACCCTAGGAACAGCAGGAGTCTAGTTCAGGGCAGCAAAGTATGGCCAAACCAAAATCCTTCCTTATTGTGACTGTTCTGGCCACAAGCAAGATTTTCCCCACAAGATTGGAGAAACCATGTAAAGATACTGTGTTCCGCTTGATATCTATGGCTGGCTTTTACACACTCAACTTTTGTAGAATGCTTTTCACATTTGTCTAATTGTCCCTGTGGGGTTGTTGCAAAAAAACTGGGGGGGGGAGGGCTGGCTGGGGAATTCTGGGATTTGAAGTCCACACATCTTAAAGTTGCCAAGGTTGAGAAACACTGATCAGAACGGAGTTCCTCGTCCTCAATGGTGTCATAGTCCAAGACATCTGATTAGTTGGGGCCATCCAGACAAAGAAGCAAAGCACATGAGCATGTAGTTCAATCCTCAACTGGCCACAGAGCTTCATGATCTCACCAAACACATTCCACAGGTCTTAGATTTTGCTCTAGAAAAAAATGCTGTTTTTCCAAGCAAGGGGAGAAGTGACAAAACAGGAGGCTGGAAAAATTAACAGCAGCATTTGTGACTGAAAGGACCTGAATATTCTGTCCTTCCTTCTTCCTGCCTCTTATGTATTATTTGAAGGGCTTGCCACGTCACATATCAGCCTGATACACACGCACTTTAACATGTTTTTACTCCTGTATTGCCATTTCTTTGGATGCAAAAGGCACCGTGGCTCTAATTTCGCCATGGCATGATCTGACAGTGTAGGGGAATGCATCTGTATATTCTGACTACATAGAAATAATTGAACGTAGAATAATCCTTGCTTGATTGGTGTCCTTCCCATATGTTCAGCTATTGGGAATTGATTTAATGGTTGCATACTTCTGGGTCTCCCTTCATGCCAATACTTGGTAAGACAATTAACCAGAATAAATAATAAAATACAATCAGATAAAATGCTTATGTTTTCCAAGGACAAAGCAAAAGCTTTTTGAAATGACAGTTCACTGAACAAGCCAGAATGACCTGATTTAGACACCGTGCAAAGCCAAAAGGAAATTCCATTATTGTCAATTCTGTTGCCAAATTCCACTGATCCTAGGCCAGAAGTCAAATGAAATTGTTGATTTTTTTTAATTCATATAGCAGAGAAATTATACGAAAACTGCCTTTTCTCTAGCCTTATCTAAGGCACCAGTGCATTTCTTACATATAACAAAACACGGCTTGTTTTATAGAATGATAAATAAATAAATGAAAGATTTCTTATACCTTCTGCAAATCCCTTGATTTTCTCGTATGTGTCCCACTGTTGAGTCTTTTGCTGCATAGGCTTATGAGAGATGAAATCACAACCCCCTGAAATAGCATCTTACATTTTTATTTAATGTTAACAACTGCTGAAACATGCTTCTTTCCATAAGTTTGAAGGTAAGGATATATAGCTCTTTCAATGAAGTCCACAAAAAGAGTAAATCTTTTTCTTAAGAAGACCATCTTGCCTTGTCCAATATTAGTGTGAGGTTTCAAATCTGACATGCACACTACAAACTAATGGAATGCAATGCAGTATTATTTATTCCAGATTACTGGAAGATGGAAGATCACTAAGGCTGTCAACCTTTAAACTAAAATCATATTAACAAATTACATGCTATCTGCAATGGAGATTTGAAAAAGTAATGCTTTCAATTTGTACTTCAAGTCTCCTGGGCATTTTCTGTATTTCGGTTATAGTTCACTGCAGCACTCCATGCCCTGAATGATTATGTCCTGTTACAGACTGAACGTTTGTGGAGCACAGCAGACACACTCCGTCCTTTAGGGCGGGGAGAATGGTGGAAAAACTACTGTAGCACAACAGCATCACAATGATTTCACTAGCCATGGATCACTGGTGGTGCACACATGGAGGGCCAACATGTTTGAAGAAGCCAACGGGACTCATCTGCCATGTTAAGAAGTGAAAAAGAGCTAGAGTTACCGAAAAGCGAGAGATGAAGAAGACTGGATCAGTGACCCATAATAAAGTTTGACAACTTGAGTTATGGAAAAGTGAGACACAAAGGAGGGATCTGAAGCTGATAAGGAAGAACCACTGTTTGGGCAGAGTCAGCTAAACAAGGCCTCCTCCTCCTCCTCCTCATCTATCAGTAAGAAAAGTAGACTACACAGACCATTTTTATTAATTACTTCATGATTTCAAACCATATTAAGCATTCTTCCCCTACTAGATATCCTCTAAAAACATTACGATTACCCAGCAGGGCCAAATTCTTTAATCTCAGCCCCACCAATTAAAAAAAGATATTAATCTACTAACTATACAGAACATCCTTAATTTCTACAAGGGTAACAAGCAAAGCAGTTAAAGGTTGCACACTCTTTAACAGCTGAGATTTCTCCTTCTCCCTGAATAATGAACCTATTTGTTACAAATTGAGGTAGCAGGTGCAGAATAATTATCAGATGGCATCTGGTTTCTATTTTAAATATTTGGGGGATTTATTCATTCCTTTGGATATGATCTCAAATCACACCCCAGGCCTCTTGGTTATTGCACTAAATACTCAGACAGCTGGGAAAAATGTTTTTGAATTGTGTGAGGGACTATGCTAGATACGTTCCTAGGGCAAATGAAAATGTTTGTATGCAACCAAGGAGAAACGAATCGTGGGTGAGAAACAAATTTAGGAAGCACTTTCACTAAAGTGATAAAGACTTTAAACTAGTCTTCCCCAACCTGGTGCTCTCCAGACACAGTGAACAATAGTGCCAGTGATTCCCACCCAACCTAACCTAGCTACTCTAGACTAACCAGAGTTCCCTTTCCTTAACTGGTGAAGAATCTTTACTTCTCTCTCCCTTGAAAGATCTTATGAAAAATTTCTTATTTTTAACATTGGTTTATCTGTCATTGGTGCTGCTTGCCAAATTGATTATTGATGGGATCTTGTTCTCAAAGACTGGAGCTGGACAGCTTTATTAGATTGGCTTGTGATCTGCAAGTGTATTTTAATGTTTTGTTAGTAAGCAAGCCAGAAGTCTGTTTTGTGCATGCATGTGTTACATACAGAGAGTAAATAAACAGAGATACTGTACAAGCAAATGTTTAACAATGACTTCCTGTTGTGAGTGACTGCTGATGCAAAGGAATTATCAGAATTGGACTTGCATATTTGTACTGGCAACACCTACTAATCTGAGCCATACGCTGGGAGACGGGGAGAGGAACGGTCCTGAACAACATATACTTTGGCATGGAGCTTCGATTCTAAGGTTTTCAAAACCTTCAAAATCCAAGGTCACTGTCCTGGCGCTTTGCAGAAAAGCTGGCCCTCCATGCTCATTTCCACCAGGATGGCATTTTTATACAAGAGCAGGAAATCCTTAATGATCTTGTTCTTTTGATTCTACAGTTATTATAAACATACTTGCAGAAAGCAACTCTTGTATCTCATTGATGAAATGCCCTCTCTGAGAAGACTCACCTGATGCCCATACAGTTATTTTGTTGCATTACAACACACACACACAACATTTTAAATCCTCAGCTTTACAGGGAATTTTTAATGCCAACCGTCGATGAAGGCTATTTTTAATCCATTTAACGTTGCTTTTCTGCTTCCTGAACTGATGGCTGGGTTTTATTCTTTTTTTTTTTTTAATGCAGCATGTCCAAAATTATTGTGCTGACTAAAAATTTAATAAATAAATAAGGAATCTTTAAGATGCCCAGAGCTTTTGCACTGGAGGAGCAGAAGGTTTCACAATAAACAGTCAAAGAGTGTTACCTTGCTACCCTGCCTATGGAACAGAAAGCAGATTGGCCCCACCCTGCTGGCCTTTCAGAAGACATTAAGATGTGGTTACATTCCCAGGAATAGGGGCTGAATCGTTAGTAGAAGACCATGATGTGCTCCATGGTTTAAATTGCTTTCATTTCTTGGCTGCTGCATGTGTTGCTGTGTTCTACACAACTCTTTTGTATTGTTTTTATCTGCTGCAGAGTCACTATATCAGATGAGCATCTATGTAGATTAAATCAATCAAGCTGAGGTCCATGGATGTGCACTGTTTCCAGACTCCTGAAGCCAAACATCAGTAAATGGAAAACCCATACATAGCATTCTCACTGGGCAGGATAGTCACTGGTCAGGTTCGTATCTGGGAATATATCTCAGTGCTTCTGTACTCTACAGCTCCAGCAAGGGATTGCAAAGAGATTGGCTACTACATTCTGGTCCCACTTAAATTTCTGTATCTTCTTCAGGGACATCCCCATTATAGCCTGTTGAAAGAGCCTAATTGAGAGATAACCAATGTATGGGTAATGGTAGGAGATTGGCTCATCTGTGGATGATCTACTAGAGGAACAAGATGGTAGATCACCTGCAGATGGTATTAGGCACTACCAGCTCCCACACTGACCTGGGACAATGCAAGGTCTAGCTTCAGCCTCAAACCGTATATTTGATCTCACAGAGGAAGAACACACTGCTTAGGAACAAGAAAAGCTCTCTCAAACTGGGAGTTCCCCCAACCACCAAACCTTTAGACTTTTTAAAGATTCAGTTTCAATTTGTTATACCTCATCTAGACTGCAGTCTTGTCTAGACAGAAGAATTGGTTGTTTGGCACACCAGGTGAGGATGGAAAAGAGAAGTAAACCTGGCTATCATTGACATAAAGAATTCCTGCTTCTTACTTCTATGGCCTCATAAATATGTTAAATAGTATGTGGGAACCTGCAACCACCCAACCCCAAGGCCATTAATGAGAACAGAAGTTCCCCATACTCAAAGTAGGAACAAAACCATAACAAAGTGCCCTCAATCCCCAACTTCTAAGCACAGGCCAGGACAACACCACAACCCACTGAATCAAAGTCACCCAGTGGCATGAGTAGGGACAACTAGCATTTAGGACAGCAACGATGGGGGTAGGAATGACACAGGCTCTTCTTGATCATAGCCCAACAACAGCATGCAATACAGCCCTCACATATTAAGTCCCAATAATGTTAAACATAAACAAAGAAACTCCTCTAGATGAGTAATTTGCAAAACATGACAAAGAATTTTTCAACAGCTTTTGTAAAACCCCAATGCACATCATAACACTCAGCTTCAAAACCAACCATCTACCCTTTCAACCACAATCCCACAAATCAAACCGGCTGACCTTTCCACCAATCAATTCAAGAAACAAATACATCCCAAATCTTACTCGCAGCCCCCACTTTCACAATTCCAATTACTTCCTTCTGCTGCATATTCACATCTTCTTTACCCCACTTGTCAGGGAAATAAATTTTGATGCTAAAACGGAGTCAAATTGGCTCACACACTCACAGGTGTGACCAATAAAAAGCTAAGGCATTGCTAACCCAAACCAATTGGCTATAAGTAGTATAAAAGAGAGCCTAGCAAGTTTTTGCTCTCTCTTTCTCTGCTATGACTACGTTGCTGTTGAACTGTATCTTCTATTGAGTTCTTTGCCTGCTGTAAGTTGCTCTACTGTTATTTGTAAATAGACTACACATGAAGAAAAACTACGGACCGTCTGTGTTTGTTTCTCCTAATACTGATCACTAGTTTAGCAAACTGCTTTGCCCTGCTCAACAGGTTATGGGCCCAGGCTTCCGCTGCGCTGCTAAATGTAATAAGTGATGGTAACAGAGTCACCTGGGGTGAAGGATTGCACGATGCAGTCTGTGGCAAGCATGGGAGGGACCTGCTCAACACCACTCAACGCTCACAATCCACATTCCTAGAGGCCTCCATAACTCCTTTACCATTCGGTCTTCTTTCTTCTTCCATCTTCCCCCATGTTCCACAACTTCCCCCCCTCCTTCTTACACACACAGGATCTTCTTTCTTCTATCAATGTCTTCAAAGTCTTTTTTATGCACATGTTCCAATCCCAGTGTCAACCATTCACCACCTAACTTCTTCCCTCCTCTTTCTCCCTTTGGTCACTCACACAGAGAATCTGTCTCTCCTTCCTGCTAATGTCATTAAATTAAAATTAAATTAAAATTCTTAGAGCCTAGCTAAAAATAATCATTAAGCTCCCTAACTAAGCTATCTTCCAGATGTTGCTTTGTTTTTCGAAGGGGTTGTCTGGATTTTAAAAAAAACACTGATGTAGCCATTATTAATATACAGATAATCAGGTAAGCTATCAGAACAATTAATGGATATGTTGCAATTGAGATTACCTCATGCATAAGAGATCTTAAAATTCCATGCAAGCTTATTCTAAATGAATGTTATCTTCTTAAATATTAAATTATAGAATTGCAATCAAGAAGTTTAAAAATAGGCCTTAACTGATGTATGTGTGCATGATAATTATTTGCAGCCCGGATCTGGGTAGCCCTACCCACACAAAAAGGAACCTCCTCTGAAATGGAATGGAATGGACATTTTAGATGATTCTTACAAGCGTATCTTTTTATGCTGGCCTTCCCCGGCCATTAATCCCCATTAATATGATCATTCCAATATGGTTTATTATTAGCATTGTTTCTGTAATATCAGCAAATTGCTGCAAGCTTGATATAAATGTAATTATATAAACTCTTAATAGATGAACCAGTAGTGTTAATTAGTTTAAGGAAACATGCCAACTTGAAATGGTGATCTTGACTGGTTTCCATCAACAGTCAATAAATCAGTTTGGCTTTATTCAGCTACAGTGACTCAATGCCCAGCTTCACATATTCCATTAAACCATGGTTTGTTTAAACTGTGTCTATTCAATAAACATAGCTGTGATTATCAAAACACACTAAGGCATCCTGTTCACAAATCACAATAGGTAGGTTCTCGTACATGCTGTGCTGGGAGGTGGGGGGGGGAGTGCAATCCCAGGGCCATGTTGGGCCCCTAAGTCCCTTTTTATGGCCTTCTAGAGCCTTCTCTGCTTGTGATTATGGAAAACTGAATGCACACTTTCCTGCCATTTTGAGAAGAGAAATCTATAAAAAATATAGCGTATGCCTTAAAATAGGCTTATCACAGTTAAAAAGAGAAAATAAATTATCAAACTACCTCCCCAAACCTGGACCTTCTGACATGGGTGACGATTCCTCACCCATCTTGTGAGCTTCAACTGCTGACAAATGTTTAGAGTGGCACTGGCCCCAAAGAGTGCTTGCTTCTATGCTAAGTCAAAACCATCAAGCAAACAATGGTTTATTTTTAGACCAAGGTCTATTTTTAGACCAAGAAACAGATGCTTCTAAACTTTTCTTCTTGGTTGTTCTAAAGGAGAAAAGGAAATGTGGAATGCATTGGTCTTGTCCAAAGAATATTTATCTAGAGTTTAGCAGAATGTCTGCCTAATATTCAAGTTCTTCTTCCTATTTCACAGCTCACGAATTTTCTCTGTGATGTAGTCCATCTAAAAATGAAAAAAGTTATAAAAGGACAAGGGAGACAAAATGGCTTGTTTTCCTTCTCCTGCTGATTATATCACACAAGCCATAAACCTGCGTTCTGCATCATTGTCTCAATAGTCCTCTTCAATTAACCAGCCAGCATGGTGTTCCCTCTCTCTCTCTCTCCTCTACAACCCCAGGGCTATCCTGCTGTGTTCTTTGCATCCATACCACCTAAGGTCTACATAACTCATTAGTGGCACATTACTGTACAAGACGCACACACACATACACAAAACCCAAGACTGATCCTGTAATGAATCTGTCTTGGGACTCATTCTCAAAAAAGTTTGTTTAAAAAAAAAAAAACCAGGTCAGCATCTGGGCCGATTGTTTTTGCTACACCCATGGAAATCTTTTGTGTTTCACACTAACCTTTGGGAAGGTCAGAATGGCAATTAAGAGAGCACTTCATTAAAAAATTGAGAGGGTGTGAACATAAAGAAGCCCTATGGCTATCACTTCATCACTCCCCCTTCCACATCTTTGCTTAAATATATATTATAACAAACTTAGCAAGCTGTCTTGTACCTGGTTCTGAAAACAACCTTCAGATGCCATTGCAAGCCACAAGTACAACTTATTGATGAGCACACATCCACACACCCGCTGGCTCTTTCCTCTTAATGGGCGTGGCTAAGAAACAGCAGTCAGTGGTTGATATTTCTCATCCCATGGAGTAAGCCTTTTGTAACAGCATGTGTTACAAAAGAGAGAGATCAAACCATTCTTGACACTGGCTGTTCAGCCTCTGCTGCCAAGCACCTCATGAAGGTGAGCCCATTGCTTCTTTGCTTAATTAGCTCCACTTGGAAGTAACAAATTAACTGTATTTAATTAATGTAATTTTAATCATCTTTAAAATAATTATATAAAATTTGTCAGGGACCCAGTGCTCTCTTTGTCCTGTTCTTGATATGCAACCCACAATCAAAGGGTTAAAAAAAATGTCTCACAACCCAGCCCTATAAAGTCTGTAAAATTAATTTTAAAAATCTCTTTTCTAGTCACTGCCCAAATAATGAGGGTAGGAAATTTTAAAACTTTAATTATCATTGCTGTATTCTTCTGTTTTACAGTCTGATCCTGGACTCCATGATTAATGCTAGACTAATGAACAGAAAAACAAACAAAAAACAAACAAACCCCAAAACATTCTTTTATCTGGTAGGAAAGATACTCTTGATATTTTTTCATAGAGTCTACCAGCGGTGACCTCCCAAAAGGTTTGAGTGGCACACGTCATTTATACATTTATACTTTAAGTTGAACTTCAGACGCATATAATGCATACTTAAGAAAGGTCACCCATGTCCCCCTTGGCATCATTTTTCAGTTCTGTGTACCATCCCATTCCTTGCCTTCTAAAATCCTAATTGAACAGAGCTTGGTCATCTCAAGGACTAAAGACTAACTTTACTTTGTAGATCTGTGAAGCAAGAATGCTGAATCTGAAGACTCAGAGCAGTAAGAACGGTTGAGAAACCCTGAAGTTTCATTCAAGACTTTAGTGTAATCCATCTCAAACTGCAATCCCTGAAAAGCCAGTCACATTACATAAGACATAATAAATGTAGCATTAAAATAAAAACTTGTTAAAATTCACAGCATTCTGTTCATTTATATAGCCACGGTATATTCTATTTTATACGGTAATAATAAACACAGATACTTTTTTTCCTAGTGTTTTCCCTAGTGCAGGGTTCTCTTTTTGGTATTAACTGAGTGTTGATCCGTTGGTTGCGACAGAAATTGACTGACCGGCTTGTTGCCTGAGCCTGACATTGTGGACTGAGAGAGAGGAACTGGCCCAAAGTCACCCAGCTGGCTTTCATGCCTAAGATGGGACTAGAACTCATGGTCTCCCAGTCTCTAGCCTGATGCCTTCACCAATAGACCAAACTGGCTCTCAGTAATAAACACAGATACATTTTGTATAAATTAATATTAATCAAACTCTACTTTTTATTATGAGAAGGTCAATATTTTGTATTGAAAAGTCTACAGGCAATCAGTTTTATGCTATTTCTGGAGGGGTCACCATGTTTACCTTTGGCAACAAACATAATAAAACATTTTAACATAAAGGTAGGCAACCAATGGTTCTCCATATTCTGCTCCCATCAGCTCCATCATATCCAATCTCATATCTTTTGGGAGGGCTGTGAGTTCCTCATTCATATCTTAAAAGCTGATTAGTTCTAAGCATTCACCAACTAGAGTTCATCAGCTACAGTATAATTCTTAGCTGGTGCACAGACTCTGCCATAATAACTAAAATATTAGAGTTTGTACTTATTGCATTTCATGGGAGGTTCACTTGGAGATGGATCTTAGTGATTTTGGCTAACCTAGCTCACAGGATTGATATGAGGACAAAAAGGCAGAGAACCATATAGTCTGCCTTACGTGCCTGGAGGAAAAGCGGGATACAGATGTAATGAATAAGAGGCTATAAAAGTGTGCACCAAAATTAATCAGTCTTGAAGAAGTCATGATGCTCTTTGTGGTTAACCAAATCAATCAATCAATCATACAGAAAGGTGCTCAGAACTGAGGCTGTTTTGGAACTGTCCCTAGCCAGGAGCCATCTAGTAGAAATCACATCATGCTCTGAAAGCAGCCACAAAAGGCAAGATCAAGGAGATGGCCACTCACTGCAGGGAGGTCTCAAACAGGAAAGGCTAGAAGACTCCTGCACCAAGGAGTGGGGGGGAAAAATCCAAAAGCAAGAAGAGAAAGACTTATAGCTGACTGTTATGAAGCTGTTATGTCTGCCAAAGAAGGTATGACAAGATATTGACTGAAAAGATGTCCCGAGTTTTGCACCTGCCATGCTCATTGTTTCCTTATTTTGAATCTGTAAACAATCACACACAAATAGTAAGTAGGCATTAACTTTGCAGAAAATGGTCATGTTGTACCAGGTAGAAGTTCTAAAAACAGTTACACCTTGACTGAAACATTTGCCTGTAGGCAACTCTGTAAATGAACATGCTTCATGAGATGGTCTTCCAGCTAATGCAGACCTATGCCTACTGTTACACATATACAACTGTCAGGATAAAGTTATCCTACTCACCATGCAAAATGTTAACAGCAGGTGTGAGGTGTGCTCAGGAGCAGAATTGGAGGAATGTCCATCCTTCTGTGCATGTTCAGGGTATACGTGAACTAATGAATGCATGGTATGTGCAAAGGTCTAGGGCACCTCTGACCAAATTGTATGTTTCAATTAATCTCTTAATGCACTTATCTTCAGAGAGTTAAAGCAAATACCTCTATCAAATACCTCAATCAAGGTGTAACAAAGTTAAATAGAGCTGGAGCAGACTTTTCAATCCATATCCTTAGTGTACACATGAAAGGTTACAAGGCCACTCCAAATCATGTTGGAGGAGTGCGATGTATATGGTCCAAGAATTAAAGCCGATCAACTGAAATCAAATGTTGGACTGATGTCCAGAGAATTCAAACACATGCAGGGGTCTGTTGAAGACAAGAGGAAAATGTTGGCACTACCTTTTCTGCCAGCCAACCCAGGTGCCTAATTTCTCGGCCTCCAGCAATTCCCGCTTTACCCAGTTGATCTTTGACCTCTGAGATCACTTTGGGAATGAGCTCACTGATACAGGAGTGGATAGCATAGAACCAGGACTGGGCACTGCTTGCATCTTTACTCCTTAGAACCAGAGTGTGCTTGGCATCCGGTGAATGAACTTCAACAAGCCTGTAGAAAAAAAACAATAAATAGGAAAAGAGGGGAGGGTTACATTGATTCCCAAAGTTCCAATCCGACTACCTGCTTTGCTGGTGTAGAAGTATGAAAAATCACCCTGCCAGGGATGGGGAACCTGTGGTCCACAGACTCAAGCCAGAAGACCAAACTAGCTCAGCCAGCCAAATGGGGCTCCAGTAAGGTACCTCCCCATACTATAAGCTTGGCACCCCATTGCAGTTCTGTTTCATTTGTTTCTCATCATCAACCTTCGACATGGTATGGTGGGATATAAAAAAACAGAGGACTGCTGGAGGCTCAGCCCCTCCCTGCCTGTAACCCATCTTTTCCTTCCATTCAGGGGGATGGCCAAGGCCAATGCACTTCCCACACAGGAATGGGCAGCTTCTCCAATGGTAGAAGAAATTTACTGGACAAAGATATATTCTGCTGGAAGCCAAACATAAGGAATGATGGCTTGCTCTCTGTTCTTCCTTCACAGAGAGGTAACATCAGGAGGCAGGGTTAAGTAACTTCACAGGATTAGGTCAATTAAGCTCAATCTTCTGATGTCATCCAGTCTGCTAGATCAAGTCTGCAAATGGATCTGCAACATCACCACCCATTCATCTAACACAGCTTAGATTATCTGAAACTTGAGCAATTTAGCATTCAAACAGAGGAAGAATTGTTGCACACTGGTGGCATGTATATCTGGGTTTCACACTTCCTTCTAACACTACTGGTTAAAGAGGAGCAAGGAGCTGTGATGGGAACTGCCTTTTTCTATACAAGATCCTGGAGAGTCATTGCTAGTTAAAGAAAAGAGAACTGGGCATCTATCCAGAAGTCCTCCAGAGTTCAATAGAGTTTACTTTAAGAAACCATTTCCAAATTGGGGACCAGTGTGGTGTGGTGGTTAAGGTATTGGACTAGGAGATGAGAGATCTAAGTTCAAGTCTATTCTCATCTATGGAAATTCACTGGCTCCCTTCAGGCCAGTCCCTCTCTCTTAGTCCAACTTACCTCACTGGTTTGCTCTTATGGGGATAAAATGAAGGATTGTCCCCATGTAAGTCACCTTGAGCTTTTGGAGGAAAGACAGGATATAAATCTATCAAATAATATTAATCTGCTGCAGTAAACACTGGCAATAAATCTTGTTGCTCCTTAAAAATTAACACCCTTATGTTGGCTTTGAATTTAGGGAACTGCCGTCTCAGCACAAAGGCAGAGGAGAGACTGTAGTATAAGATATAACTCACCACAGTTCATTCGCACTGGGTATGGGGTGGGACCATAATTAACCATTATGTTCAAACTGGACTTCCGCATTAGGAAGCACGTTGAGTGCTCAAGAAAAAAAACACTTTTATTGCAAATCAATGTATTCACTGATAAAACATGATCAACAAAAATGGTACTCGTAAAAAATGTACCTTCCTGCCTCTAAAAAGGTCATTTCTCCAAAGAAACAATTAAAATGTCAACAAGACAAAGAACAAAAAAAGATTACGGGAATGAATCTGAGCTGCTTTTGAGGATTACCCTCATCTCAACAACATGGGATCAGTCAATGTGGTCATACCCTTCTAGTCTACCCTATCTGGCTTTCCAATATAAATGCCCTTGGGCATGGTTACTCATGCTTTGCCTTCAGTGACAGTATACCAAAATACTATTTTAAATTACTTAAAATATGATCTGCTCTTCTATAAACCTCACTGGCTTATATGGCTTCTGAAACATGACATTATCTGCAATTTGGTGATCAAAGTTCTCTTTTTAATTCCCCCTTGTCTGGAAATATTTAAGGCAATGCCACAGCTCTGTTTTTCATACGCTCCACCACAGTTATGCAAACACTGCATACAGAACATTTTTGATAAAGCCCACATTGGTCCGAAGGAATTGTGCATTTAAATAGGAGATGGCTGCCATGATACCTACTATGTTCTAGCCATGCCCACAAATGCTATCATGCTTTCTCAGAGCCTGCTTGGATAACGACATAAAGAAAAAATATCTTTCCTCTAAAGCCTCCATGGTCAATCAAACCTTCTCAGTTCCTTATAAAATGACAATAAACTCCCCAACCTAGCAAACTCCAAATGCACTGGGACTCCAACCTCCAGAACTCCCAGCTAGCATGTTGTTGTTCTATTTCTCTGGTCATCCTCTGCACAGTGTAACTTGCACAGACCTACAATCCATCTCTGTATAGACAATACCAATCTGTCCCATCTCTGGGATATTGGTAGAAGAAAATTTAATTTAGTTCCCACTCAAATGCAACCTCAGTGCATATTGAACCAATATACAACCCCAAAAAACCATTCAAAATTCACAGACCTCTATTTTTCAGAGCAGTTTGCCAGCAATTTAAATAAGCTTATTAGGGAAATTACTTTACAAGTAGACACACATTCATAAAAATTATATAGGGAACTGTATTATCTTAGTGGAAAATGTATTGCAAGAACATTAGGCACAACTGAAAACATAAAAATGTACATGCATAGAGAACCACATACCAAAATACATACAGGTTTCAGTGTATCTAATTTTTTTTTCAAATTATATAAACTAAAGTTGACCTATTTGCAAAAATGAGAAACTAAGAGAAAATATGGATGTGTTTGGCAAAATGAGAAACTTGATTAACTGTTTTGGTGGCTCTTTCAGTCCCTATGCTGGATTTGTCATTACAAAATGCCCGTTAGAGTTAAAACAAGATTCATTAAGTGCAAAGATTGACAGCAGAACCAAAGGTCCACATCTCCTTATGGTTTGTCATCTTCCTGGATCTTTTCCCGTGGTTAATCGGCACTCTGATTACTTACCTATTGTTTCAAGTTTGGTCTCATAGAGCAGTGAAGAGGAATGGAAATCTAAGAACTGTCAAAAAGTCAGATGTTCTTAATAAAAACAGAGTTTCAGCTTATCCCATGGGGTGAGCTCTTATTTCTTCACTTGTTGGACCATACTGGTGGTCATATTCATAACCACGCATAAATAAGGGGTCAATTTCAGTATCTATGCAGCTGTATTTACCTACACCAACATTTCTCAAGCTTATGGTCACCTCCAGATATATTGGCAGAGTACTAAGTAACCTCAGTTTTATTTTAAAATTAGTAAATCGCTCAATTGGTATTGAGACACTGAGAATATGAAGACATTAGGTTTTGTTCTCTTTCTCATGTCAAGGAAGCACTTGCTCCTGGCAGACAGCTTCACGGGCTTCCCCATGTATTCACACATTCAGTCATTTATAACATGGCTGTGGCATGATCCAGTTCAGAAGGCTCACCAAAAACTATGCTTATGCATATGTGAATCTAATTAGTCTTCAGAACTATATTGAAGGCAATTTCCAAAAGTATTACTGTGCCCCTGACTTTGCAGGAAACCAAGACAGCAATCTGATTTTGCTTTTATGGGCCTGACCACATTGCATTACTAGAAAGAGCACAGGGCTATCAAAGACCATGTTCTAAAACAGCTGTGCTTCTCTCCTTGGAACAATATGTTTGAATTAGAGTCAACAATGCAAGACAAAATATCAAGTTTTGTGCCAAGAACATCACGCAGATTAAGGAATGGATTTGCTCTGGTTACATGAAATCCCTTATTTTGATTCCATTATTTGGGATTTCAGTGGCTGGATTCCTCATTTAATCACCTCCAGGTCATATCTCTACAGAAGGACCTTGTATTTTCCCCCTATATTTCCACTTTCCTTTTCCACTTTAAGGTGCTCTCGAATAAGTGAAGAATGAAGATGAACCGCAGTCTGTAAAGGAAGACAAACTCAGGATTTAAAAAAAAATCTCTTCACTTACAAACATTGAGTGAGATGTTCAAGCTCTATGCTGGGCAATTCTCAGCAAAATCCAGCAGGTGGCCTGTGACACAGAGGGAAGACCTAGTAACAAGTCCAGGGTGAGAAGACAGATGCTTTCTGATTTGCCTAGTTGGGTCACCTGAGTTCCCACACCAGGAGATCTGTGGGTTGGGATGGAATCTTTGTAATAACCTGCTTAGTTCCAGCAACAGAGGAATCCACTTTCTAATCTGAGTTTGTGGACCAGAATTTCTTAGAATTGGGGTAATGGTGTTTATGCCATTATCTACAAAACAAGGGCCAGTAATATAGGACCTACGAATACTATGTTACCTACAAAATCCTGAACCCACTTGCTATACTTTTATTATAGAAACTGATTCCACTCATATCCCATACAGTATACTTATGTGCCCATGACAATTCCAATGTCCCTAAAAAGGGCAGAGAGCCATGAGCAAATATATCAGGAAGGGTTCCCCTTTGCCAAAATGGCCAGAGCTGACGACTCCCAATAAAAAAATAACTTCATCCATAAACAAAACTATCACAGTAACAATGCACTTGCTAATATCTTAATTAGCATAATCATCAGAAAGCTGCAATTACAGGGTCATCTGGTGTAGTTGCAAAGTTTTGTAAGAGCTGTACAAATCATTCCAGCAAGTCCTTATTTTCTCTTATTCAGGAAACAGAAAATCTATCCAGAATTGACCAATTGACATGCAGTTTTGACCAGAGATCATCCACAGAGCGTTCTGTTGCCACAGGCAATAAAAACAGCAAGAATTGATAAGACACCTCCATGCATGAGATATTCAAAGCCCTTATTTCCTGCTCAGAGCAAACCTTATTAATGAATGAAAGTGTAAAGTGTATCTGCAATAGAGCACTGTCTTTAGCTTAGGTAGAAGGACAGAGGTAGGTAGAAGGTAGAGCTTAGACAGAAGAATAGAGCACTGTCTTAAGCTTAGGTATTCAATTTTTCTCTGGAGGTTACAGATGGTTCTGAACTACAGAGGGACAGGACGAGGCCTAATTTAGGAGCCCCAATAATTCACTGTCAGAAGAGAGCTCCAACCACACTGTCTAGCCACCAGATCTGTCACCAAGCCCTCTGTCAAACAGCAAACTCTTTAGGTTTCTGCCTCCTTCATGCAGAGAAGTGTTAGATGCCAATGAAGTTTCTTCGGACTCCTTTATACTAGATAGGGAACAAAAAGACCATGGATGTGAGAGAAGAAAAAGGTTCTCCTTTAACCACCCCCATCAGCTTTCCCTTATTTCACAGCTTCTCTCCTAGCAAAAGAGGCTTGCAGGTGTGTGGTACGATGCAACTCTCCTCATGCATTATAAATGAGGACCAATAAGCTTATCCTATTTTTGGAGCCTGGAAACTCTAAAGAGCCATCCAAGTCTCATTTCCCATTCATTTCCCCAGGCTGCCTTTTCTCACTTCCCCAGTAAGCCAGAGGTTGGTGACTCAAATTAGGATGAGGAATTCAGTCTCCCAGTGCAGTTTCTTGTTTCTTAGGACAGGCCTTGAAGCACAACATCTGTCAGAACAGAAGAGCGCAATCAAGGCAATCAAGGTCCAGACTGGCCTTCATCAATTTGGGCTCCCAGGTATTCTTGGACTATTTATCATGTCTAGCTGCTTTGGGCAACACTCATGGATGGTGAGACTTTAATCCAAATCTCATTGGATTTTTATTTGTTGAAGGAGTCTGCTTCCAAGCGGTGGACAGCACTGGCAATTTGCTGTTACCATGAGAAAGTTTCTTGTAAAGATTAGTGAGAACAAGCAACTTTCCCTTTCCATCAACTGGTTCCTGTCATGCCGTTCTGAAGCAACTGATCTGCTGCATCATTTACATTAGGAATGGACATCTTCTGCAGGCTAAGGAACTGAGAAACAGGAAGGACCATATCACAGGTTGTAGCTGGACAGTCTTTGCAAGTTTTCTTTGTTTTTTCACTCTGTTCCCCATTTTTGGGTATTTCCACTGGGGACAGAAACTGGGGGCCACAGAATGGGGATCATACTGAAACTTTGTGTGGCATTCTAGGAGCCAAACGTAGGTGGGCCCTATCTGATCTTTTATTTAAATGAATCTAAACTTGAATGTGATGACATTAAATTAATTATATAAAATCCAAACAATTACTCCCCAGAGTAATAATTTAATCGTTCTCACACATTCAGCATTACAATGGCAATTTTCAGAATATGTGCAGCATTAAAATCTCAGATTGCACACTTCTGGTGCACTGGAGAAAGCCGGTAAACAATGTGTGAATTGATGCACGTGACAAAAGTTCATGTCAGGGGTGTCTCCAGGGAGGGTCCAAAAAAATCAAGATAGTGGTCACAACGATGTGATTGAAACCCTGCCCTTTTTTAATGTGTGTCACAATGCATGTAAAAAAGGGACAACGCTTTGATTGTATGGTTGGGCCACCATTCTGATGTTTCTGACACATCCTCCCTGGTGTCTTGGTTCAAGCGCTTATTCTGTACGCAGTGCAAAACCTCAGCCGACCAGAACTCCTCTGTGAATGGACGCAGACTTGTTTGCAGGACTATGTATTCTACAACCCTTTTCCTACTTGAACATATTATCTGCATAAGAAAAATGCCATGTTTGAAGCATTTCTTAGTTATAAGGAAAACACTCAACTGTGATAAAATTACACGTATTGTTGAAGAGAGGTTGTATCTTTTTCAGTTTGAGTCAATCTTTTTTCAGTTTTTTCTTCTTGTATAGAACAAGAGATTATCAAGCAGTAAGTTGTTTTGACAAATGTAATGATATGAATGAAACTAAATGATGATATGAACTAAATGATGATATGAACTAAAACTAAATTAATCTGGTAAACTATTTTGATTTGATTTCTTTAAACCAGTGTTAATTACATACAGTACATTCCTTACTATTTTTAAGAGTGCAGACATTTGAAATTCGTGAATTCTTGTTCTTTTTTTTAAAATCTTAGCAGCAAAAATCAGATTTGGGACTACATGTTCCTTTTCATCCCTTTTGTTGAGCAAGAAGTTTGTTAATTCATGGTAAGAAGAGAGTGAAAAAAGGAATGGGTTTAAACCACTGTGGTTATAAGGAGACTGGATCTTCAGACTTGCAGTGGGCAACCAGCACTTTCATTTGACTTCATTTTTGTTTGCAAGAACATTTTTTATCTAGCCAAGCCATGTCTGTGAGACTTCTGCCCAATCTAACTCAAGCCAAGTTAGGAGATTTGTGATTTACTGCTGAGTTCTGACTGGGAGAACCTGACAGCTCCCTACCAGCTCTGAGTTTACCTTTGTTTGGTTCCCACCCCACCCCTGGAAAGTGGAGGCACTTCCAAACAAAATGCTGGCTGTGGACATCCATTATTGGGTCACAATGTCGATGGTGCTTACAGTCTTACAAAGAAAGACGATGCTGGGAGCTTTGCAGCAAGCAGGCTATGCAAGTAGGGTTGTTCTTTAATTACAAAATAAAGCCATGGAAGACCCCAGAGAGCTGAAGGACCTGCCATAGCAGGTTTTGTGGAGAGGTACAAAGAGGAGAGGAAATTGTCCCCTCCTGTCCAGTGAACAGAAAATGCTTTCACTCCCAAAACTACACCATGAGATTTGGCAGATTCAACAGAACAGCAGCCATTTAATCCAGGCACAGAACTGCTGTAGAGAGCCATGGAGATGGCCTTGAGGGAGATATTCAGACGCTGTTACAGAAGCAACCTTCCTTAAGCCCTGGAATGCCAGCAGCCTACTTAGAAGAACCCCAGAAGGACCCAGCAAATTGTCTTCCCTTCTGGACATCAACAAAGCAAGATGTACTCTTTTATTCTTCTTTGCTGAATATGGGAAAGATGCAGAGAGAGAAAAAGAAGAAAGACAGTTGCTGTCTACTTGTGTTATGGACTGCACATGCACTTGATCCATAAAAATAAAGAAGAAGGAATATTATGGGAAAGACGTGTTCTTCTTTCCCAGCCTAGTTTGTTTACCTGTTTTCTGGGTCTAACATAGCCATGTTCCGCGTCACATAGCACATTTTGAGCGGGATGGTCTTTTTGTCTCGGTGGATGTTGAGAGAGAGCGGCAACAGGGGATCGATGGTTGGGTTGCCCAAGCGGGGGGACTCGGGAGGAGGAGTTTCCCATCCAATTTCAGAAATAGGAGAACCTTTCTTCACATAGGGGGTGGCCTCTCGCATGTATTTCACTGAAAGAAAGAGAAGAGCAAATGAGAGTGTAGAAGAACAAGCCTAGTGCTATTTGCTTGATTTGCGTTCTCTCTCTCTCTTAGCATATCATATTGATTTATATAACCGCCCATCTTGCAACTGTGACTTTTGTTCATTTGCACCGGGCAAGATGTACTTTTCCTACTGGCCTGGATATTTCTCTCTGCTCTTACAAGACTTGGAAACTCCTCTGCAATGAAAGATCAAAAGGATGCCTCCTTGTTTTCAAATTTCACCACATGTGCCTTTATTTGTTTACAAGCCAAGAAAAAGGCTTTGCCAGTTCAATATTGGGGACTAACCCCAGTTAAAGCAAACCAACAAGCAATAAGATAAAGTTCACAAGGGGGTATAATTTAATGCCAAAAAGAACTACTGTATATGTAACCTGGATTTTTAAAATCATCATACAACTATATAGGAATGATCACTGTAATCTGTTAAAATCTTCCACAGATTTCACTCTGCTTTGCATTATCTCAAATTAATACCTGCTGGATATTTAAAAATAAACATAAATTGCATTGTTGTCAGGAGACTGCTATACAGAACCACCAGAAGACGTTCTTACTCATACACAGACAGAAGTAATGCTCATTGCTTGCAAATTTTCTGTATTATATGATTAATGATAAGACCTGAAAGACTAAGTTAGGGACAGACTGTCATGGAGAAAATCTATCTATGTGGTTGCTAAGACCAACTCTTGATGGCACATAATCAATCAATCAATCAATCAATCAAATGAATAACAACACAGGCCTACCTTAGAGAATTGTTATAAAGTTTCCAAAGTTAACATAAGTGAGGAAAATATTAACAAAATCCCTCAATA